CGTTGATATGGAGGTTGAAGGTCAATCATTGCAATTTGAGCTTGACACAGGAGCAACGCACACAGGTATCCCAGAACATGTGTTTGAGAACATTAATAAATCCAAACATATCAAGTTGTCAAAGTCAGAGATAGATTTTAAGAGTTTTACTGGGGAACGGATAAGACCTAAGGGCGTTGCTAGAGTTATGGTTAGTTACCAAAACCAATGTACTATGCCAGACGTGTATGTCGCCAAAGAGACAAACCAATTATTATTAGGAAGGGGTTGGTTGAAGTATATTAACTTGGATTGGCCAAAATTATTTGCAAAAGTCAATCAAGTAAATAAGGTTGATAGAGAAATAGATGAACGCATCAGCAAGGTATTAGATGTATACAGCAACTTGTTTGATGGAAAGTTAGGGCTATTAAAAGATGTAAAAGCCAATATTGAACTAGAGGAAGGTTCTAAACCATACATGAGTAAATGTCATAGAGTTCCATACGCCTTAAAAGGCAGGGTTAATGATGAATTGGATAGGCTAGTCAATGAAGGCATAATAACGCCTATTAAACATTCTGAATGGGGTAGCTCTATTGTTACTGTGCATAAGAAAAATGGTAAAATAAGAATATGTGGAAATTATAAACCCTCCATTAATCCAATGTTGAAGTCAGTGGCTCCACCAAACATAAACATTGATGATATTTTGGTTAATTTATCAGGTGGGAATAAGTTTACAACACTTGATCTTGCCCAAGCATATAATCAAATGGAGTTAGCAGATGAAGCTAAGAAAGTCCTAACTAGAATAACGGAAAAAGGTTTTTACCAAATGAATCGATTACCTTTTGGTATCACAACAGCACCCACCATTTGGCAAAATGTTATGTTGAATGTATTGCAGGGATTGAATGGCGTACAGGTATATCTTGATGATATTATTATTACGGGCAAAGATGACCAAGAGCACATAAATAATTTGAAGGGAGTATTGAGTAGGTTAGAGGAGTATGGGTTGAAACTGCGACGTGATAAATGTGTTTTAATGCAGAAATCTGTAGCTTTTCTAGGTCATGTCATAGATAAGGATGGCATACATAAGTGTCCAATTAAGACAGAACAAATTTTGAACATACCCTTACCAACGGATGTTAGTCAACTCCGATCATACTTAGGTATGGTGAATTATTACCAATCATTTGTGCCTAATATGTCATCCATGCTTAACCCTTTGTATAAGATGTTGCAAAAGGGAGTGAAATTTCAGTGGTCTAAGGCAGCCAAAGATGCCTTTGAAAAATCCAAGTTTGAATTGGCTAATTCTGGGTTTTTGGTGCATTACAATCCCATGTTACCAATAACAGTAGCAACAGATGCGTCACCATATGGTGTGTCAGCCATATTGTCCCATATAATTGATGGCAAGGAGAGGCCAGTAAAGATAGCCCCTAGATCTTTGACTGCAGCCGAACAAAACTACCCACAAATAGAGAGGGAGGCATTGGCCATGGTTTATGCGTTAAAAAAGTTCTACCCATATGTGTATGGTAAACATTTCATGTTAGTAACAGATAATAAACCGTTGACTCGAATATTTGGTCCCAAAACAGGGTTACCAGTGTTAGCAGCTGAAAGGATGCAGAGATGGGCTTTGTATATTTCAGGTTTTGATTATGAAATTGTGTTTCGTAACAGTAGAGCTAATGCGAATGTTGATTGCTTTTCAAGGCTGCCAATAGGGTCAGCACCAGAGAATGAGTTAACAGACGTTAATGTTAATTTAATTGAGACTATGGAAGCACTCCCTGTAAATGCTAACGATGTTAAACGTGAAACAGCTAAAGATAAGGTGTTAGCTAAAGTGACACGACACTTAATTGATGGTTGGTCCAACTACGAAAACAATTTAGAACCTTTCTACACACGTAGAAATGAGTTAACTATTGAAATGGGATGTATCCTATGGGGCACTAGAGTAGTGATCCCACCAAAATTACAAACCAAAGTTCTTAATGATTTGCACATTGGACATATGGGAATTGAAAAAATGAAGAGTTTGGCAAGATCTTATTGTTGGTGGCCTGGCATAGATAAACAAGTTGAAGATATTGCAAAAAGCTGTAATGCATGCCAAATTATACAATATAAAGCTCAGATAGCACCTACACACCTATGGTTACCTTCAACTGAAAAGTGGGAGCGAATCCATGTGGATTTCGCAGGTCCCTTTGAGAGACGCATGTTCCTAATTATAGTAGATGCCTATTCAAAGTGGCCTGAAGTGATAATAATGGGTTCAACTACAGCCACTAAAACAATTGAGGAATTGAGGATACTATTTAGTGGGTATGGTCTCCCTAAAATAATTGTATCGGATAACGGGTCGCAATTTACTGCAAGTGAGTTTAAAGATTTTGTGACCAGGAATGGTATAATTCATAACTTCTCTTGTCCTGGCCAACCTTCCACAAATGGTCAAGCGGAAAGGTTTGTGCAAACCATGAAACAAGGCATACGTGCATCTAATGATGATGGTTGCACAATTCAAACAAAATTGAGCAGATTCTTGTTAGCTTATCGAAATGCTGAACATGGCTTAACAAAACAGAGTCCTGCACGAGTGTTCATGAGTACACCATTAAGGTCCAGGTTAGATATGCTAAGACCTAGTATGACTGATTCAGTTCGAGGTAAACTGCATGATCAAATGCAAAAATTTAAATCAAAGATTAGGACATTTGAGGTCGATGACAAAGTGTTTGTTCGAGATTTCAGGGGAAGAGAACCAAATAAGATCAAATGGACACCAGGTGTAATAACTAAGAAACTTGGTCCATTGCGTTATGAGGTTAAAGTGGGTGATAAGTTAAAGTGGTGTAGACACCTAGATCAGATTAAGTCAAGGTTTTCAGACCAAGGTACTGACGTTGATAATGTTACTGATGACATAATTGAGGAGTTGATTGATAATCATATGGAAATGAGTGATGGTGAAGTTGAGTGTAATGAAGGTCAGGGTTTGGAGAAAATCCCTAACCCAAGTGTTGCTATCAGTGAACCAGATATTCATGTAAGACGATCAACACGTGTAAGGAAGACACCAACTAGATATATTGAAGAATGTTGATTTGCATTTTATGTTGAGTTGATAATGCATACAAGGTGCGAGATGTTTTGATTACAAAACACAGTAAAGTAGTTGAATTTTAGAGTTCAGTTTTGAGTTTTAATAATATTATATACACGGTATTAATAGTTTATCCAGCCAACATTATATATAGAAAGGGAGAATGTAGGATATTAATAGTGTACTATATTAGTACTTGCGTAACATTACCTATGGTGCCACTTTACTCATGTCGCGTATGAATATTCAATTGTATGTGTGATGCGGAATAAAGAGCGTTCATGCTCACGCACCGTGATGGCAAGCAAGCATGTTTATTGACTGTCACAATTGTTTATATTAAGTTTGCTGTTTACTTTAATTAGTGAATACACAACATGCACCTCGACAATACCAATGGTATCAGCCTATCCTGACTTCATAAATATTCATTTCTGCAGTCAAGCGTGACGAGTCACTGGCGAAGGCCTATCATCAAATGTTAACATGCGATGCATTACATAGGTTTATTGCTTATTATCAAACCGTCACTACATTACTAAATCTAACAATTGCTTAGACTTGTGATTATAGCTCAATAATCAAACGGTGTTCTTCTATAATTATGACTGTACACAGCCGCAATAATATTATAAACAGGAACAACAAATATAAAGATAAAATACGTAAAGGCTACATGCATTAGTTAGACTGACTCCTTGCCTACTCATGTTGCAGCCTGTGGTCTAGCACAAAACAACGATGGAATGCTTCTCATTCCAAATCACTAATTTTACTGTATTATTCATATCTACAGTACAACTATATATTCCACAACAGATCATGTACATACCAGTCCCACAACAGCTAAATTAAGGCATAGTAAAACGGTGTATTCGACTTCCTAACTTCAAATGGACGCTCTCCATTAGCAACATGTACTCCTACAGTATGGCGTCCCTAGTTTCCAACGCGCAACACTCGTTCTTTACCCACTAAACTTTTAGGACTCTATCATTATACTACAAGGTATGTTATATATGTATGTATGAACCAACAGAGGGCCTCCTATATGAATCTATATTCATCACAGTTAGTTTTAAATAGAGATATCTTAATGTAAAATAAGATATTAATATCTATCAATAGAGATATCAGTTAAATCTAAGATATCTCTATTTACGATGAAGCACTGCAGGTTACTCGATACACCACTGAACTCTGTTTCGTGAGGGGAAGGTTTGGCAGGCATGCATATTCTTTATATCAGTTCACCTAACTGACCTAAAATATTGCCCTCTATAATTTCTGCCTTAACTGTATGGGAAGAAAATAGAGTGGCCACCTCGCCATTAGACGTCATAGTGAGGGCGCCTACGCGGGAAGCGGGAAGTCTGATTTTTGCCTCTACATTATGGTGTAAAGTTGTATAAAATGCTAGTTCTATATTACATTGATGTTTAAAATATACTCTACTCTACTGTTTGAACATCAGGGATCCCTTAAAAGGATGCAGTTTGTGTTTTCAAGTTCACATTTTCAAGATATTATAAGGTAACTCTTAAGACCCTCGTTCTACGCTTTCAAGTACTTCTTTGGCTTGATCTACTGATCGGAGATCTATTGTTCAAGCAGAAGCTAAGCTTGCCTACAAACTCGGCCATCGTTAATTTATTCGGATTACACAATACAAGCTGATAAGTAAAAAATGCATGCTGTGAACAGTAATAACAAGATGATAGCAAAGTCCCCCACAACACCCAGTACTAGGCCAAAATTAAATAAGCCTAACATCAATGAAAACGGGAAAGATGTATGTACGCAAAAGAATCAGACCAGCAATAGGCATATGTCTTCTGAACATGACTCAACATCTACTGTTTCAGCTCCAGAAATACCATCTTCTAAGCCCACCACTAGGCCACTACCAGTAATAATAATAATAACAGTATCAAGCTGCTCATGTAACAGCCTCAAGAATACAGTGCATTCAGGATTGTCAACTTGGAAACCTGGACAAAGATAAACCATTAGAATGCTCACTCTGCCAAGAACATTACCATAGACTTGCCTAAAAAAAAATAAAATCTGCGTCTAACCCAAAGGTTTGGATATACCCGCTATGCAAGGACATTCCACAGACAGTTAAGACACTAATACGGCTCAATTCGGATCAAGATAAAATGATTATTGATTGGAATAAGAACATTTCCTCTCTATCTACTGTCATTAGTGAGCAAAGGTTAATGATTGAAAGTCTTCAAGAATCTTTAAATGCCATAGTAGATACACCAGTTTCACTAAAACAACCTGATAATCCATCCAAATCTAATGACAAATCCGCTACCCCACAAAAAGGGATGAACGAACAGCTTTCAAGTGAACGTATCAGCAAACCCACTCTATTGATTGGCGACTCTATTATTAGAGACATAAACGAGCGAGGACTTCATGACACTAAGGTACATTGTATACGTGGAGGAAAAATAGATGACGCCAAAAAATACCTGGAAAATTCCATGAATCAAACTACGTTTGACACAGTCATCGTACACATGGGGACAAACAATTGTACGTCAAAGGAAGCACTAGACTCTAATATCATAGAATACAATGATCTGGTTAATGATATAAAGACCAGATCGCCTGCAACAAAACTTGTGCTTTCAACTGTTTGCCCTCGCTCGGATAAAGCCGACCACCAACAGCGTGTCACACAATCCTTAACAATAACATTAGGTCATTAGCACTCTCAACTGGTAGTGAGCTAGTTGACAATGACAATACATTCCTACTGCGTAACGACACCATCTCAAGATCAAATCGAAATGGTGGAGGCCTTCATTTATCCAAAGAAGGAAAATGCTGCTGCTTAACAATATCAATGCTCTCAGTGAAATTATTAAGAACACAACAACACATTATACGGTCAATATCAGCAAGTTTATGACTATACCAAACCTTCATCTCACTCATGGTACGAGTGGAATTATGATCAATCCGGAAGATATCACAACGACCAACGTTACTTCGATAACACTAATCAAGGCTATGACATGTATGAACCCTACGGTGCAGCTCCACAATTACGTAATCGTTCAAAATAGGACAATGCCAGTAATGCAGATGCTCTAGAACAATCAAACTTTCGCAATATTCTTTCGGATGATCTTTTGATCAATGAAAACATCAAACAAGGTATCGCTCCTGAGCAACGACATGTAGCAAGAAAACCGTCTGTAAGTAATAAGCAGAATAAAAGGCATCGTCATCGAAGAGGAGGAAAGCGCTATTCAAAAATAAGTAATCATAATATAAATACATTAAATATATGTTTTAACAATGTCAATCATCTAAGTAAATCCAGATTATATGAAATTGAGCTGTTTTTATACAATAAAAAAATTGATATTTTTGGAATTGCAGAAACGTGTCTAAAGGGTAACATTGAAAATATTGCTAAAGGTTTTAATTGGGTTGGAAAACAACGAAGGGAAAAAGGGGGTGGTGGGATTGGTATATTAATCTCTGAAAGAATTAGAATTATTTGTGATGACTATTTCAATTGTAAACATGATGAATTTGAACGTTTATGGGTAAAGGTTTTCATTGCTAATAATGCTCATATGTATGTTTGTGTTGCTTACTTTCCTGTGCAAGGGAGTAACCATGAGTTAACAGACGAATTATATGCCCAATTACTGTCTGAAATTATGAGAATCGAAGCGGAGGAATAGGATCCTCAGATATTGATAATGGGAGATTTTAATGCCAGAATTGGCAAAGAAATTCCTGTTGGGGATCGCATTCTTAACTCAAATGGTGAAAGACTCCTCGAATTTAAAGATAATTCTAATTTAACTATTCTTAACTGCACTGAATTTTGTAAGGGTAAAATTACCTAGCGCCGAAATAAACAACAATGCACAATTGATTATCTGTTATGTTCCAAAGCCTTAACTAATTATGTTAATAACTTACTTATTGACAAGGAATGAATGTTTAGCTTCGGCAGTGATCATTGTGTTTTGTGGCTTACACTAAGCAATCTAGATATAAATAAGCCCATTCCTGCTAAGAATAATAAAACAATATGGTATATTGAACCTGACCAGGATTATTCAAGCTATATAAATTTAACTCGAGAGAAATTTGATAACTGGGATGTTAATGAATTTGATACTGTTGACTCAATATGGAAGGATAAAGTAATTGAGGCAGCCACTGAAGGAATAGGTCTAAAGATTTCAAACAGCAAACTAAAACCGTGGTTTGATAAAGAAATTGACATCGCCATTAAGGATAGGAAAAAAGCCTCCCATGAACACCGTAGGTGGATTAAGAGTAATAAAAATGCTGATAATAATAATATTGACAATAATAATAATAATAATAATAATAATAATAATAATAATATCAATAATAGGCCTAAAATTAACAGTGGTGTTAACACTGTTAGTAATAATAACAATAGCAGGCATGATGACATGGATATTCATTGTGATTATGGTGCCATGTTGTGGGAGTCATACAAAGAAAAACAAAGGCAGGTTAAAACGCTAGTCTCTGAAAAGATTACCCATAAACGTGTTCAAATGTCAATTGATATTTCAAACCAAGGTGGTACATCATGTAAAGATTTTTGGAAAGTTTTAAAGGGTAAAAATTGTAAACATTTGAAAAGTAAACTTCATTGTATTAAAAAAAACTGACACAAATGAAATCATTTTGGATGAAGGTTTAATAAATTCAACAGTTAAGAAATACTGGGAAAATGTTGGTAAAGCTAACATGGACCTCACTGACAACAATGCCTACTTAACTGCTAGGTTTGTAAATGCTATTAGAGAGGAGTTTTCAAATGATTTTCCATGTACTGATGGTACAGATGGTATTTTTTTATATAATATTTTTATTGATTATCACATTGTTGAAGATGCAATTTCATTGGCTAAGAATAATAAAGCCCCAGGATTAGATAATATTACAAATGAATTACTTAAAAACGGTGGTGATGCCTT